CCAGCAGCAGCAGGGAAACGAGTAAAAGCCAGAACTGCGGGGCGGGTGCTGGCTGATGTTAAGAGAGCCCCAAGGATCTCGATCTCACAAACCAATGATGGGAGTCATAAAGGGCGAGATCAACGGAATGCCGTGTAAGCTGACCATAGACACTGGAGCCTCTCGTACGGTTGTTAGTTCCCAACTTATAAGTCAGTTCCTTGGGGACTCCGCATACAACCGAGAACGCATTAATTTGGTAACAGCCACCGGTCAGCGTATACCCGTCCGTGGAGAGAAGGAGATGGAGTTGAAGCTAGGCAACGTGATCTACCTGCATAATGTCATCGTGGCTGATATAATGGACGACTGCATCCTAGGCTTAGACTTTATGAGGAATAATTGTTGCGAGATCGACGTTAAGCAAGGTGTTTTGAAATGTGGATAGGAGGAACTTTTTATGGAAGGTGCGTTACCAGGGAACATTTTCAGCATCAAGAAGATTGTTCTTCCGCCGAGATCGGAAACGATTGTTCCGGTTAGTCTTCCTCGAAACGCTGGGCAAGCTCACCGTTGTGTACTTGTGGAAAGGGTAAACAATGACCTTCCATGGAAAGTAGCTCGAACCTTGGTCAGGACCACTGACATCTTAGGAGTACGTGTGCTGAACCTTTGCGACCGGGAACAGATTATAGAAAAAGGCACACTGGTTGGTACTTGTGAGGAAGTGGATTGGTTACGTCAGTGCCAATATATATCGAGTGGGACCCCCAGCAAGGATTCAGAAACGAGAGTGACCACACTTTTGGAAGACTGTCGCAGTGTTCTGTCCCCGAACGAATTGATCAAGGCGAAGAAGTTGTTACTCGAGTACGCCGATGTATTCTCATCAAACGATGCTGACATAGGAAAGACTGGTTTAGTTCAACACAAAATAAACACAGGTGCCTATCCGTCAAGGGCCAAGACGATTGCCGGTAGCACGTGAAAAGGAAGTGGAAACCATGATTGAGGGAATGGTGATGGATGGTGTTATTGAACCTTCATCTAGTCCATGGTGTACACCCGTGGTACTGGTAAAGAAGAAGGATGGCAGCTTGCGGTTTTGTGTTGACTACCGCCGTCTGAACGACGTTACTAAGAAGGATAGCTATCCCTTGCCGAGAATTGACGACACGCTGGACATGCTTACAGGAGTAAAGTGGTTTAGCACACTGGACGTAAAAGTGGCTACTGGCAAGTTAAAATTGACCCTAAGGACAAGGAGAAAACTGCGTTCTCGACGGGAAAGGGTCTGTGGCAATTTAAAGTAATGCCGTTTGGGTTGTGCAATGCTCCAGCAACGTTTGAAAGGCTGATGGAACTTGTACTTACCGGGCTAATTGGCGATGCCTGTCTGGTCTACTTGGATGACATCATCATCGTGGGCCGTACGTTTGAGGAACACCTTCAAAACCTGGAACGCGTGCTCATGAAGATTAAGAGTGCCAACCTCAAGTTGAGTCCGAAGAAATGTTCACTATTCAAACGGCAAGTCAACTTTTTGGGGTATGTAGTGTCGGAAGAAGGTATCCGCACGGATCCAGAGAAAATCGCAGCTGTAAAGGATTGGCCGGTTCCAAAAGACAAGACGCAGGTTAGAGCATTTTTGGGTGTGTGCTCCTATTACCGACGTTTTGTGAAGAACTTTGCAGATATAGCCAAACCTCTGCATAAGCTAACCGAGGAGAAGCGACATTTCTGCTGGGATGAAAGTTGTAACATCGCATTCCAGGAGCTCAAGGGCCGTCTGTGCAAAACACCTATTTTGGGATACCCTGATGCAAGCAAAGAATTTATAGTTGACACAGACGCAAGTGATATAGGACTTGGCGGTGTGTTGTCTCAACGTAATGGTGACCAAGAGGTCGTGATAGCGTACTTCAGCAAGTCATTGTCAAAACCGGAAAGGAACTACTGTGTCACAAGACGCGAATAGCTAGCTGTGTGTGGGACGAAAATTTCACTTACGAACTGACCATGCTGCACTAAAATGGCTATTGCAGTTTAAAAACCCAGAAGGACAAGTTGCGAGGTGGATTGAACTACTGCAGGAATACGACTTTGAGATCGAAAAATACGACTTTGAAGCGGGAAATCTCATGGCAACGCAGATGCATTGTCAAGAAGACCTTGTCCTAAAGATTGCAAGCATTGTACTAGGCAAGAGAGTAAGGAAGTGGTATCCGTGAGGATGCTCAGGGCAGACCACCTCAGAAACGAGTGGAAGGACTGCTTACTACATGCACAGCAGGAAGATCCGGACATCAAGCCGATTCTGGAATGGATAAAGGCCAGTGTTCCCAAGCCCAAGTGGAGTGACGTCTCAGCGATGAGTTCGACCACTAAAAGCTATTGGGCCCAGTGGGACAGCTTGCTGCTTCAGGATGGAGTTCTGTGTCGTAAATGGGAAAACGTTCGGGGAGACAGCTGTCATTTGCAAATGGTTGTCCCTAAAGCTAAAGTACCGGATGTTCTACAGCTGTACCATAATGATTGTTCAGGAGGCCATCTGGGAGTTAAACGAACTCTACTGAAGATCCGAGAACGGTTTTACTGGGTCCACTGTCGAAACGATGTCGAGGACTGGTGTCGCAAATGTACAAGTTGTGCGGCTGTAAAGGGACCTCAGACTCGTAGTAGAGGTGCATTGAAGTTGTACAATGTTGGTGCACCATGGGAGGGAATAGCCATTGTCGTGGCGGGACCGTTTCCGGAGAGTGAAAACGGTAACAAGTATTTCATGGTTGTGATGGATTACTTCACTAAGTGGCCAGAAGTCTTCGCCATTCCAAATCAAGAAGCTTCAACAGTTGCTGATAAGCTAGTTCATGAAGTCTTCTGTCGTTTTGGTGTACCTTTAGAGATTCATAGCGATCAAGGAAGGAATTTCGAGTCTCAAATATTCCAGGAAACTTGCCGAGTTATGGGTACTCATAAAACACGAACGACTTTTTATCACCCGCAATCTGATGGAATGGTAGAACGATTTAATCAGATATTGGAGAGGTACCTAGCAAAAAGTTGTAGACAATCGGCAACGAGATTGGGACAAGCACATACAACCGTTTTTGTTGTCATATCGAAGTTCTGTTCACGAAAGTACAGCAGTGACACCAGCTTTCGCAAACTTTGGAAGAGAATTACGGCTGCCTGCAGACCTGATCACCGGGATACCACCTGATGCCCCACGCAGTATAACCGATTATGCAAATGACTTGCGGAACAAAATGAACGACATTTATGAGCACGTCAGACAATCGGGCCAGCATATGTCTGAGAAAATGAAAACCCGGTACGACCGCAAAATGAACAATAAAGGGTTCAACGAAGGTTCATTAGTGTGGTTGCACAATCCAGTTCGCAGCAAAGGGAAATCTCCTAAGCTTCAAGCTAAATGGGACGGCCCGTACCGGATTGTAACCAGGATCAACGATGTGACCTACCGGATACAGAAAGGCGCAAGAGGGACTCCTAAGATCGTCCATGTGGATCGCTTGGCGCGTTATTATGGGACCGATAATGCTCGGGACGAGCATGTCTTAGGAGGGGGCAGTGTTGCGTGAATAAGTCAACTAGCGCCATCTAGTCTCAGGAACGAGAGCGAGGGGAACTTTGCAGAAAATGACAAAAAAATCACAAATCTCTCAACCGACAGCGCCATCCGAAGAACTAAGTTTCTAGAAAATCTACACTCGCACACTCGTCCCTTTGCGCGCATTTACTTGAATATTCCGGATGCTTCTTTGCTAATTTATATAAATAGGCGCTGCAAGATGCGATCGAGGCAGTATTGGAATTGGCGACACAAGCGAAGCTTCGGAGCGGAATAAAGTGAATTAGTGTGTTTAATTATTAGTGTTTTAAGTTTTAATTTGTGTAAAGTAAATTAAAGTGTTAATTTAGGTAATTTTATCGGCAATTTTTATTGTCACGAACCTCAAGCTCGTAACAACAATGTATCGTCGTTGCGTGTACGTTGCTGCTGGCTGGTCTTGAAGTATCAGATTTTATCCCGTAATATCAGATTTTGGAATTTTACAAGAATCGGTTTTGGTCCGTTTGCGATATACAGACGGCCCATTCGATGGCACCATCCTATATCACTGGTTGAGCAGTCGCTTATCTTCAGCTAATCATTGAAAAATCTGGTAATAAACAGAGCAGTATCTTCTTTAAATGTCTCTGGTACATCATGAAATAGAAGCATTTTTCTATCATTTTCTGCTGTAGACTGCTCAGTGCTTGAACCACAAAAGTTTTAAATGAAGTGAACTCCACAGGAAGTGATGCAGTGTTTGACATTGAATGAGGAAGATGACATTACGTTACTCTTCTTCGAAGTTCGTCATGCTCTTATAGAATACCTCCATTAGGTCGGCTATATAATCCTAAAATGAAGACTCCATTTACGTTGTAAGACACTGTGGACAATATATGTTATTATGTGCAAGTGTATGAACTTGGAAAAACACTTTTGAGATGGGTGATATTAATTCATTATATTTTAACATGAAAGTGATGCATGTTTGTTATGATATATTTATAATTATCGATATATCGAAAATCCGACATTCTAAAAATATCAACAACCCTAGTTTGAACTGATCAGTTGAACTGACCGTATGTGTGATGATTTCTTTGGCTTAAATCCGTTTGAACTGATATCAATTCAAAGCTTAAAATTGAAATAAAACCGAAATTTAAACGTACTGTTTAACCAACTACTCACGACGTAAAAAAGAGTATAGTAATTGTTGACCCATTCCTTAGGTCCTTTTTAGATGTTCTTAAAGCCGGGTTGACACGATAAGAGTTGGCTCCGACCGAGTGCACTCGGATTACTACTCGAACGTTACTCGTATCGTGTAAACATGTAATCCGAACGTACTCGGACGCCGGCATCAAATCCGAGTGGAATCGGATGATGCTCTATTTTCCCCTTTCACTCGGATCTGAGCTTGGATCATTTTACATCAAAAATGGCGGCGTCAAGGAAAAAGTGGACGAAACAGTTCCACGAACCTTACACAGTATCTGTAAGGTTCGTGGAACTGTATGAAAAAGAACAAGTGTTGTGGAACGTGCGACTCAAAGACTATAAAAACAAAGATGCCCGGAATGCCGCTATTCAGCGCATTATACATAACCTCAATATGGAGGTTACAATTCAAGAGGTGAACAAGAAAATAAATAACATTCGTAGCACACACACCCAGGAAAAAGTAAAAATTAAAAAATCTACCGGGACCGGATCAGGAGCTAATGATGTGTATGTTCCTTCGTTGGCTTGGTACGAAATCGCCGACAGATTTTTATCTGGGGTCATAAAAAGCAGGAAAACTTATCAGAATGTGGTAAGTTTATTTATTATAATAAAACAATAAACATTTGTATTTAATTTATTAGCTGTTTTATAATGTCACGTTAAAATATAAGAACACAGATATTCTTAAAATATTCTGCTACTTTGCCATGGGACGGAGCCTTCTCCAACGAAATAATTTTTATAATTTATTCTTCTTTGCTCTGCCAACCGAGATGGGTGATTACTACCTTGATTCACAACATGTGCAATATAATTTGAACTAGGTTCCTGTCTCCACGAACCAGGTCTGTCATCTATGTCCATTGTTCCCACTGGTGCATAATAGTGCATGGCTGTCTTCATGAGCCAGTTGTGAAGTGCACAAGTTGCTTTGACAATTTTGTGAACTTTGTCTGGACATATATATTGGAGTCCGGTATATTATAAATTTTGACACCATAATACCAAATGCATTTTATACTATTCTTCTGGCACGAGAAAGACGGTAGTTAAAAGATTTCTCTTCGGCTGTCAATGTTAATCTTCGAGAATATGGTTTCATCAAATACTGATTCAGTGGAAAAGCTTCGTCTCCTAAAATGACACCCCAAAGTTCGAGCCCACTTCCAATTTCTCTTTAAGTATTGAATTACTGAATATTGAAGCATCATTTAATCTACCCTGGCTGCCCACATCAATATATGTAAAACAGTAGTTGCCGTCTACCAGAGCCAAAAGTACATACTAAAGTAACCTTTATAATTAAAGTATTCATGTCGATTGGTTGTTGTATATTGACGTGCTTGCCATCTAAGGCTCCACAACATCCAGGAAAATTCCAACGGTTATCAAACACTCTCGAAATATTTGTCCATTCTTCAGATGTCTTTGGGATCTGAAAAAAAAACAAGGCATATTTTTAATTTTCTATTATTGTTTTGTTACAGGAGAATTCAGATAACAGCTCTTCAGATCCAGACGTTCCAGCCACACCTTCACCAGACATTCCAGCCCCACCTTCACCAGACATTCCAGCCGCACCTTCACCAGACATTCCAATCGCCCCTTCACCAGACATTACAATCGCCCCTTCACCAGGCATTCCCATCGGCCCTTCACCAGATATTCTCCACGAACCTTCATCGGACATACCAGGACCTCTTCCGCTACCGGCAGATCTTCAAATGCCATCATCTTCCCAGCAGTTAAATAGTGAAATATTCGTTAAGCCACAAAATATTATCAAGAAGAAGCGACCACTTAAACGACCATTAGTACCTCAACATATCGAGAAGTCTATTGAAACACTTAATAGTATCCAGGACCAAGTACTGTGTCATAAAGAAATAGAAGATGAATTCTCCCTTTTCGCCAAAAATATCGCCAGCCAGCTCCGACAATTGCCCCTAATAGATGCTCTAGATGTTCAGTCTGAAATAATAGAAATAGTAAAACGGAAAAGAATAAATCGAATGCAATTGGAAAACAATTCTACGACATCAAATGATATTCATTTGCAATACACATTTGAAATACTAAAACATTTATTCAATAATCTTGAATCTCAGATTCATATTCAACGTGACGCAACAAGCCAAGAAACATCACCAGAATTTGTAGTAGATGATCAATTACAAGAAGCAATTCGAAGCATTGGTGGGATTCAAAATAATGAGAATTATCGCTATTTTGTTAAACAATAATTAAGATTACTTTAACTGTAGGTAGCTTGATATTAAATAAAAATTTCACTATGATTTCTTGTTACTGACCTTTATGTACTCCTCCAACCCTTCATATATTGATAGCTTGGATATGGTGCTCTTTGGAACTCGAAAAGAACTTTCTAAACTTGGAAAACTATCTACAGTTGCTAAATAGCGCATAGCTATTTGTAGCTTTATTTTGGCAGATAGAGCAGCTCTAATAACTGTATCAGCTCTCTGTATTTTCGACGTTACTTTTTGTAACAGATAGTCAAATTATTCACCGTTCAGCCTCAAATGATTCTTGTAAGTGGCCTTGTCTTCCATGCGTACTTCTCGGAGAAAATTATCTGATGCTCCCAGCTTTTCACGCCTTAATATCCATTCGCGGGTCCAAATCGATCTCTTCTTGCGTTCCTTCTTTCTTCTTACATTGCTTGTTTCTTTGCTTATATGGTTCAACTCTTTTATTAGTATATCTGCAACAACTGCGACACCTTGCAACAGCAATCAGTTTGTTCCATGTTGAGAAGATCAGTGTGTTCCGTGAGTTGACACAAAATTGAATGTACTTTGATAAGAGTACACTATGATCGTGTAAACCACTATAGGATTACACTCGTATGACGCTGACTCGCACGAGTGTACTCTGACGTAACTCGGTCCGAGCTGACTGTTATCGTGTCAACCCGGCATAAGCCAGCTTTTCACTATACGAGTACTCTCGGACCGAGTGCACTCATACGAGCTAGATCGTATAGGAGTTCACTCTGAACTTGGTTGACACGTTACGAGTTCATCAGAGTCAAATAGGATTTAATTTTGTCTCTTTGTAATGCCAGATATACTAATAAAAGAGTCGAACCATATAAGCAAAGAAACAAGCAATGTAAGAAGAAAGAAGAGATCGATTTGGACCCGCGAGTGGATATTAAGGAGTGAAAAGAGCATCAGATAATTTTCTCCGAGAAGTACGCATGCAAGACAAGGCCACTTACAAGAATCATTTGAGGCTGAACGGTGAACAATTTGACTATCTGTTACAAAAAGTAACGTCGAAAATACAGAGAGCTGATACAGTCAAGCGATGACGACTGATCAACTGCTGCGAGGTATATTGAGGTTATGAATGATGCGTTGTATTGCAGCATTTCGGATATCTTTGTTTTTATATTCAGTTAATTTCACGTTCTACAACACATCTTCCGCTTCATTTAGTTCCACAAACCTCAGAGTAACATGTTCGTTCCACTTTTTTAGTTGGCGCCATTTTGTCACCATAAAATTATTCGAGTGTACTCGTAAAAATAGAACCTCATCCGACTCCACTCTGATCGGATGACGCTGTCCGAGTACGCTCGGTCGGATTACGTGTTTACACACTACGGGTAGCGTCCGAGTAGGCATCCGAGCGCACTCGGTCTGAGTTTTTTTTATACTCATAAAACATAACATAACATTAACACTCACGCCTGTCACGCAGAGGGATAGGCAGAGACTATGGACTTCCATTTGGCACGATCCTGACATACCTCTTTCGCCTCCTTTACATCCATATATCTACGCATACATGCTCGTCGGTTAAGGGTACTTCTAATGTGGCCCCTTTTCAAAATATCGCCAATTTGGTCGATAAACTTTTTTCAAGGACGTCCCTACCCGATTCGGCCGTTCACATCTGCCATATAAATTTGCTTTGTCACTTTTTCCTCATTCATTCTTTCTACATGACCAAACCACCGAAGCATTCCTTTCTTAATCCTGGTCACATCATCACATCATCTTGCATACCACATTTATCTCTTATCACGCAATTTCTCAGCCTGACATTCAGATTCAACCCTAGCATACTCCTTAAAGACCGCATTTCTACAGCATTTATTCTACTTTCGTGCTTCTTCTGCCACACCCAGCTTTCACTACCATACATTAAAGTAGGGACTAACAGAGCATTATGAATTACCATACGTGCCTTTTTTGACACATTCTGGTTCTTCATAATAGAGTGTAGTGCCCCATTCCCTCTTTTCCCTTCATTTACTCGTCGTTCTATATCCCTATCATATCTACCATCCCTGCTAAATACACATCCCAAATACACAAACTATCCACTTGCTCAATTAACTCTCCTTCTATTCTTATTTCACATACCGTTTTGCTTTCTTCTCTCAAAAACCATCACTTTCGTCTTACTTGCGTTCACTTTCATTCCCCTTTCTTTTAATTCCCAGTTCATTGATGTAACCATCATTTGCAACTCAGACGCCGATGACGCAAATATGACTTGATCATCGGCATACAAAAGGCATTTGACGGTTAACTCGTTTATTCTTCATCTTTCAAAGTTTGCAAACACCTGTCCATAAATAGGTTGAACAGCCAAGGGGAAACTACATAGCCCTGTCTGACACCTTTTTGGATGCCAAACCAGTCCGAGTAGACCCCATTGATCCTGACACAAGCACTAGAGTCCCTATAAAGGGACCTTAATGCCTGTATCAAACCAGCGCTCAAACCATATGAGTTCAGTGTTTGCCATAACACATTCCTGTCCACTCTGTCATAAGCCTTTTCCAAGCCCATGAACGCACAAAAAACTTTCTGGTTTTTGGCCAAAAAACTTCTCCGCAATCATGCGCATGGAAAAGACTTGATCTGTGCACCCCATTCCCTTTCTAAAACCCGCTTGCACATCCCAAATTTTTCCATCAGTTTCTTTCATAACTCTTTCAATTAACACCTTAGCATACAGTTTACCCACAATACTAAGCAATCTGATTCCACGGTAGTTTTTGCAGTCTTGCTGTGACCCTTTTCCTTTATATATTGGTACTATAACTGCTTTACACCAGTCATACGGTACCCGTTTTAATTTCCAACATAAATTAAACAAGGTGTACAGCAGGCCTGCCACTACTCCCTCTCCAGCCCTTAGCATCTCGAGTGATACTCTATCATATCCAGCTGCCTTGCCTGCTTTCATGCTTTTCATTGCTTTCATTATTTCATCTACACTTATCTCCATACCCCTTTCCACTTCTTTCGGAATTTCTAGTTCATTTAATTCAGACGACTCTTCACTCATAAACACGCTTTCAAAGCATTCCTTCCATCTGTTTAAATTCGATGCTTCATCATTCAGAATACATCCATTCTCGTCTCTTATAGCATTCATTAGAGGTTGTTTTGTATTTCCCCTGGCAGTTCCTACGAGTTTCCAGAACATTTTTATGTTAGCCTGGAAATTATCAGATATCCTTCTATCATTCTTATCCGTTCTTTCTTTCTTTTTCCTTTCAACAACTTCTTCTACTCTCTTATTTAGACTTCTAAATTTTGCCTTTTTTCTTTCAAACTCATCATTCATACCAGAAGAATTACCAGATTTGGTTGCTAGTAAATCTAACCATGCTTTCTTCTTTGATTCAACTTCCACCCGTACCTCATCATCCCACCACAACGTATTACTTTTCCTTTCACTTGTTCTCTTACTTACACCACATACTTCGGTGGCGGCATCCACCAAACCTTTCTTAATATTATCCCACACAGTATTCAAGTCTAAATCATTCATACACAACTCATTCAAACATCTATTATTTCCTCTCAGTCTACACATTTATACTTCTCTTTCACATCTTCATCTTGCAACTTCTCTATTCTTATACGCTGTAACGCAGTGGTAGACACAGATGTCCGATGTCGCCAACGCTTGAAAAGACCATTAATTCGACATAAGACCAAGTAATGATGCGTCCCTACGTTGGACCTCCGGTACACCCTTGTATCTACGACTGCGCTCCTCATTCTTTCATCCACAATTACGAAATCTATCATGCTTCTATCATCACCTCTTTCCCATTTATACATGTGAATCTTTATACTTTCATCACCAAACGTTCCCAATATCCTTTCATAACCAGACCTCTTCACCCCAACCCTTCCATTAAAGTCTCCTAACATAATAATATTTTCACTTTCCTTACATTTTGTCAACACCATCCTTACCATGTCCCAAAACTGCTCTCGGATGTAAGTGGGATTAGACATGTCTGGGGCGTACACCCCTAGCAGGAACAGCTTTTTTATACTCGTATAGTGAAAACCCGGCTTTATTGCATATCGTAATTTTATATTTATATGTTGTGGGTATTTGTATTATTGTATTCGTAGGTAGTTATGCACGGGAATAAATCAGTTGTCTCGCTAACGAACGTGTATTATTATAAACACAACATGGTGTCAGAAGTGAGATCATAAGCATAGTAAATGCTTAAAATCTAAGACGTCAATAGAATAATTGCAACATATATACATAGTATAATATTTATGAAAAGTAGTAAACTGCGAAATAATTCTATAACGTGTGTCTTGCAATTAACAATGGAGCACTCGCGTCCACCTAACGAATTACAGTTAGAAGGCGAACCCGTCAGCAGGGCTGATGCTTGGAAGAGGTGGAGACAACAATTTATTATTTGTGAAAGCTTCGGGTGTGCACTCGGAGACATCGGCAGTAAAAGCAACTTTACTTCTCAATTTAGTGGGTTTAGAAGGATTCTACATTTATCAAACTTTTACGTTCATTAAAGAAGAGGATTGTGATGATGTGCTAATAATATTGAGTAAATTTGATGAATGTTTTGGCACTAAAATTAATATTACATTGCTTAGATACAAATTTTTACTCGCAATCATGAGGAAGGTGAAAACATACAGCAGTATGTTACGTCATTGCGGTTATTGTGTGAAAATTGCAAGTTTGCAACTTTAGAAGAGCTGATAAAGAATCAAATTGTGTGTGGTGTAAATAGCACAATAATCCGGGACCGTTTGCTCAGATGTGAGGACCTAGACCTGGACAAAGCTGTGAAGTTGTGCCAGGCCGAAGAAATTTCGCAAGAGAGTAGCCGTCAGCTAAGTACTAGTGATATGTGTGCTAGTGTAGTGCAGATGGATAGTGTCAAACAAAGCAGAGGAACGCGACGCGCAGCGCA